AATTCGCACGAGCATTCGTCAAATCTTGTTTCATGGAAAAGGTTCGCGTATAAATAATGTACAGAAACGGGCCGCGTAGATCTGAATAAAATTTACGACACGATCCTGCCGTTTCTATTATCGTTAAACATATCTCGGACTAAATCTTGTAAACATTTTTTTAATATGAATTCTATGTTTGTGTGTTACAGGTCAACGCAACGTAGCTAACTCCGCTGCTGCGCATCGGGCCGGTAAGTTGTAAGTTTTTTTTAACCAAGGTAACGAATTTACATCCCATAGATCGTAGATCATAGACTGTAGAACGTAGGTAAATTCGTTACCGGAAGATGGATAGATTGTAACATAAATTCATATTTTATTTGATACACGGTCGGGGCCTCTGACATTCAACGGGCTCTACAATTTTCTTTCGCATTCGTTTAATCTCACGGAGCTCTACGAATCAAAATGTACTGAGCTCAGTTTTTATGTTGAGAATCGCTGGAACATCGCGGAAAGTACGCGAATAGGACAAATGATTTATTGACGTATTCGTCGAGCGCACTTGTAATCTATCCATTTTTTATCCATTATATATTGGCATGTAAAGTGAAACAATGCATATGACGTGAGATTCCAAATGTTTTATCGAGAGCGCGGAAACATTTCAAATTATTATACATTGTTGGCAGTTAAAGATTTACCTGTAATATCCAAATGCAATATCACTCTCTATCATTTCGTCAAAGCCGAGAAAGTTCTTTAATTCTGGATCTCACGTCATTTATTCGATATATTTCGCGACACCTTTAAGATGCGTGTCGCATGAGCACATGCGCGAATCACACGCATCCTCATCCGCGATCGGTTTTCGCGTTCGTGTTTCGCGATCGGCTTTTAAAAACGTTTCCATGACATTAGTACTTTTTTATTTCGTCCGTATTAGAAATGTTCATTTATCGCGGAATATGATTAAAATTAATAAAACGCGAAGTAAACTGTTTTCCGTGTATAGACTTGAATTTCGCATTCAAAGATCGCGTCGCGAAGAGACGGTCAATACTCTTCGAGTAAATAACGGGCAGAAATATATTTAATTAGCTTTGTGCAGTAAATTTTCTCGAATTAAAATTTTTTCTTAATTAACTTTTCGTCGTGTATTTTTCGATACGATCGTCGCTCGTATATAATTCAAATCGTACGTAATATTTGTCGGTTACGATAACAAACCGACCATGGAAGGATGAGTTTCCTTTCTTCCTGATCTCTGGTCAAAATGACCAGATTGTATGGCCAGGGTCGACGAAAGGTAGGTCCAACCTGGCCCAACGATATGATAAGTGGTCAATATAGATCACTTTGATGGAGTATAATTGATGCTGTATGAAATAATTGTTGATTTCTTCTTATTTGCCAGATTTCGGGTGGGTTATATTATTATCTTTTTTACATATTCTCGTATATGTGCGAGATTAAAAAGAATCCTTTATTAATTAATTAATTAAATCCATATTAAATCACGCGCGTGTAACCCCAAATCGGTTCTCTTATAAATCGCGTCGCGGTTTCAACGAAAGACTTGTAGGTTTATTAAGAAAAAGTTGAAACGCGGGTAGGTAGGAAAATTGATACAGCGAAAAACACGGGCAAATCTCGTACAAGTTTGCACGCGTAGGAGCAGCAAAATTTGCGCGTAAAAATATTATAGTTATCTGGGAGAACCTTAGAAGAATAGCTGACTTGTAATTTCCAGAAAATATTTTAAAAATATTCATCTATTCACGAGATAGTAACACTTTTATTGTACAATTATTAATAATTACCATCTCGTTTACATATGTTTCTTCTTCTTCACCAACGTTATCCTCGTATACGTATTTAAGACTTGAGACACGAGACAGTTATTGTGTATTATAATATTTTCAGACAAAGACTTAAAACGTGTATACAATAACTTTAAGATGTTGTTTACGCGTCTATTTCGACTTTTTATATTAGGTTCTAGCGCATATATTTTACCCAATTCCCAATAACAAATGATCGACACACAGACATAATTAATGTATGTATATCATATATGAGTGACGCTATTTCACACTTCAACTCACTGTCTAATACGATTAAATAGCACATCTCTAATATTATCCTATACGTCAGTGTACCGCTTTTTTCCGACTGAGTGTATGTGGATGATATAAAATAAATTTATAATACATAATAACAATAACGTATAGGACAATAGTAGAGATGTGCTATTTAATCGTATTAGACAGTGAGTTAAAGTATGAAATAGCGTCACCCATATATGATATACATATATTAATTCGTTGGAGTATATTAGTTCGAGTCTCCATACAATTGTTGTCGACCCTTATTTAAAACCCTTTCAGATTTTTTCTTTAGTTTTTCATGTATTTCTGGTCCAAAGTTGACTGCTTTCTCGAGAAACTTACAAGCCCATTCGTTCATATACTCTCGTACGAATCGTAACTTCATGGCATAGCGAAATATAAAGCTGAAATTATAGAGAGAAATTATTATAATTATTACTAGGTACAAATTTTGTAATAAGATAAGCAATAAAAATACAGTAAAATTTCCTATTGCTCTTTAATTCTTTCACTTTAATGGTCCTATAAATTGGACTCGGTAGTTTATCTCATTATTTTTCACATATTTGAATCTATACGCGATTACGATTAGAAAACTATATTTTTCGTCTCCATCATATTAAATTTTGCTAATAAATGATTCATTTCTTTGAATCACGTCAGAACGATCAACAAATGAAATTGAGGAAATACTTACTCTTTGATTATTTTCAAGAAATATTACAATTAATAATTTAAACGTAAAATTTGTTAATAACAATACAGTTTCTTAATTTATAATCTAATGGATATCAGAGGATACTTGTATGTATTTATCTGGCTTGTGGTACTCACCGTTGAAGAATAAGATAAAACCGTTCAGAATAAGAAAGCGTTTTCCGTAGACGTGGCATATCAATATTCAATAAATCGGCGAATAGCAGTAATAACATCTGGAATGCGCTTGAATTGCTATTAAAAAATTCCATTAAGCATCTCATCATATGTTCCCATTCGGGCGTTGCTTGTCGCCAGTAGGGTTTTAGCCCAAACTCGATAAAGTCGTGCGATCTTTCCTTAACTTCCTGCAGACTGCCGCGGCAGAAATTATATCTAAAACATTTATTTTGCAGTCAAATATAAGATTTGAATGAGACATAGACAACAAGTAATGAAAATACTCGGGTGATGGAAAAGTTTATTTTATACCAATAGAACGTACTCTCTAAAATTTGTGGAGTGAAAATACTGCCATGAAGTGAAATGATTACTCCATTGGAGTTAATATTCACTCTGTTGGAGGAAATATTCACGCCAATAGGGTGAACATTTCACTCTTTCCATGGCAGTATTTTCACTCCACAAATTTTAGAGAGTAATGTATAAATGAAAATCGAGATGAGAGGGATAGTTGGAAAGTAAAAGTACTGGATAACAGTGGATAAAATGTATCTTAAATTTAAATTTCGAGAGAAACGTTTAAAATTAAAGGAAGAAAAATTAAGAACAGAGAGAGCACTGCTGGCGACTTTTATTAAGAATATTCTTACTAGTTAGAAATTAAGAAGTTATCGTTATCCATCATAGTTACTGTTGCAAACAGATTTATTATTCACATTGTAGATTCTATTATTAGAGGAAAGTATACTATTATCAGATAGGATCCTAATATGAGATAATAGGTTTTTAACGTTCAAATTCAACGGCCAATTTTTTTTCCGCAACGATCACACGATCTAACAATCAATTTTCCATTAAACAGATT